AGAACGGGGTGAAAATGAAAGGTTTACGGGGTCGGAATGAAAGGTTTACGGGGTCGGAATGAAAGGTTTTGGCCACTGCAAGGTCAAAAAAAGGCAATTCGCAGGGGTTGGAGAGGCAGGGGCTAAAATGGGAGGTTTCCAGTAGAACGGGGTGAAAATGAAAGGTTTACGGGGTCGGAATGAAAGGTTTACGGGGTCGGAATGAAAGGCTGCAAGGTCAAAAAGGCAATTCGCAGGGGTTGGAGAAGCAGGGGCTAGAATGGGAGGTTTCCAGTAGAACGGGGTGAAAATGAAAGGTTTACGGGGTCGGAATGAAAGGTTTTGGGGTGAGAATGAAAACCTGTTGCCCTTGGGGTTGGCGTGAAAGGGGCTAGAATGGGAGGCTTACGGGGTTCCAATGAACGGTTTTGGGGTCAGACGGTTTGCGGTTTGCAGGGGCAAAAGGAAGTGTGCATAAGGTAGGAGACAGGGTCGATATAATATGGTGTCGGGGTCAAAAAAAGAGGTAGGGGTTAAAAAAAAGGGAATGGGGTCAATTAAATAGGCTCCCCCTTGCGAAATCACGGACATGGAAAGCTTGGAAGAACTGCAGTTTCCATGTTCTATAGACCCCCTCATAGATAGAAGTTCGTAGATCCCCATGTAGAAAATGCATTGGAAACCGTGCCACATTTTTTTCATACTCTTTGGGACCAGTCAAGATCATGCTTTCAAACGTCGACTGCTCCCATCTGCCATTCAACGTCATCTGTTGCCATTGACAACCACAGTACTCGCAGTACTGAGGGGGTTCATGTCCCCATGTTCGTCCCTAAGTTGAGTCATCCTCTCGTCACAGAGGCAAAACATATCGCCGAGCAGGCCGCGTGGGCCTATCTACAGCCCATGGGTCGCAGCGTTTTTGCAACATCCTCCAGCATTGGTGTAGCGTGGCACTTAAAACATCTGAAAAAGCCATCCACTTTAGGTCCACTTTCTGTGGTCATTGCTATAGCAAGCGATGAAACAACTAGTCAAACATAGTCAAACAATTGTTCATCAGGCTTCTCCCTCACATGACATATTTGGGTCTTCAAAGAGCTACTTTGACTCCTGATGTTCCAGTTGATTTCTATGCTTCTCGACCAGGTGCTAGGGTGGGTGCCGCGCGAACGAAGGCGAAGAGGAGAAAAATGACGAACATCTCCTAGGCAAAGTTGAAGAGGCACGTGCAGGTGAAACTCCCATGCCACGGGACAACAGTTTGAGTTGGGCGTTGCTTTAAAGCTGTGTTCTTCTACATGATTCACCAACGTTCACCAGCCAGAACTCTCCCATTTTGGTAGGGGGCCAAACAGATCCTTTCTGCAGTCATCATGCGAGTTCCGTACCATCCATGACTTGCATCCAGTCGCGTTTTCCGAGCGGACTCCGAAAACGCACTCCCCATGCGCCACCGATGACTGAAGGTCTCTCTTGGGTCCGTGTACCATAGGCGTGTGGGACTCAGAACACAAGAACGTCTGAGAAGGTGAAGATAGGCTGAAGGCCTCTGTAGTGTTCTTCATGGCTCAAGGACCCACGGTTCGTACCCCGGTCCGACCCGGCCAAAATAGGCTGAACAAAAGTCACGGACGCTCCTGCATCTTTGTAGGGCAACACATGCATTATATAAAAAACAGTCAAACCTGCTCCATGGCCAAACCCTCGGGTCTTGGCTTTCGAACACCTAACCAGGCCCAAACCGTTTCGTTTCTCTCCCAAGTCGACGCCCTCGCACCGACGCCCTCGCTGGGTACTCCGACGTTGGACCTCGCACGGCCTGTTCGGCGCGGAAGGAACGGAAGACCGCGGTCCGGGTGAAGCTGACAACCCGAAAAGGCAGCTCGTGCTGTGCTCCATTGGGCGGAAGTGCTATAGGTCTTCTATGTTCCTTTATGTGTCCGTTTTTGGTCACAAAAGGCGAACGTTAGATGCTAGCTATGCTAGTATGCGAACAACTGAAGTGAAGAACCGAGGGCCTACTTCAGGTCGTTGTAGCTCAGTGGTCATTCAGCTGATCACCCTTCTTGTGGTGCCCAAAGCGGTGGCGCTTTCAAAAGAAGGGGGCTCCGGATCTTGCAGTGAAATGATCGATGTCTTCCGGTCATGCGGATATATGGCCAGTATTGAATTGATTACCATATATTACCATATATGACCATTTCCTGTCTACTACGACTTGCTCCACTATCGCCACTGAAATATGAAATGCATTATATAAATGACAGGACTTCACAGTACAGAAATCCAACACTACCAGCCTACCACTCGGATCCTCTGACGGCCTCTTCCCGGCCCAGCCTGTCGCTTCACATCCACTCCCAGCAAGTCCACGTGATTTGTTGCCACACATGGCGAGCTGCTGATCGAAGATTGAAGTCGTAGGCTTCAATCTAAGAAAAAGACATGAGAAACTATATGATATGGTGTCTTAAGAAGCGATCGATGAATTCGGTTCCAGGCTTGCGATTTCGGCGAATTCGTTGCGCATTCATTGCTGCTTGGGATTCCATTTGACGATGATCTTCATTGATCGATGAAGAATCCATCAATTCCTGTCATTCACATGCACGCCCCCTTGGTCGGCACGGCGGTATGCCATGATCGGCGCGAGACGGGGGAAAAGGCCCCTTAACGATGGTGAGACTCAATACCCTGAGGGAGATGACCCCTCCGGAGAGGCTAGGTTTTGAGGTCTCCAGTGGTTCTTTTTTTGGCCACCCCTGCCGTTGCCCTCAAAAATCGTCCCGGATAAAAGACTATTCAAAACAAGCCAATAGCAGGGGTAGCCCTCTCGTGTTCTCCTACCCTTTGAGTTAGTGCCTTTTAGAGGGCAGTTGCCTGCTACAAAGGCAACCGAGAAGAAAAGGTGAGCTCCTGCAGAAACAACATCAATGAGATTCCAGGCGACCAATTCGGTTTATACCAGCGCAGCATCGCTATCAATCCCCAGCCTCAATACAAAGCACCTCGTCTCGTGTGGTTGATGGGTGGGTAGCCCCGCAGCTCCACAGCGTAGGCAAAGCCAACGAGCGACCACAAGAAGATGTCTGACGTGTTAAGGACCAGACGGCGAGAGACGCCATGCACACCGGTTCTCCGGTGTCCTGTGTATGTATATAACTGACTGTTCCCAGAGCGGATGATGATGGTTAGGAAAGGCCTTTCACTCAGATAGTGTTGGGACACTACCACCAGTTCTCTGCACCAGGGTCTTCCCTCTCTCCAACAAAAATGGAAGTAGACAACCCCCTTGTTTGTAGAGGACTTTGTTTTTTTTCGTAGTTGTAATTACACTTTCATGATTCTTGGAGGAAGAGTAAAGCCCCCTCAGAACTGTTGGCTCAAATACAGACTGCTTTTGTGCTGTTCTTGGGCCACTTCATTTATATCGACCACCACTTGGGATGCGAGCCAAGTGCGCTAACGGGGATCTCTTTCACACCGTTCTTCAACGCAAAAGTGTCTGACGTTGGAACTCGAGTTACCTGCCGGACATTGGCGCGTCTGGTTCCTGAACATGCTCTTGGAGACCCTGAAAGCTATCTAAAGAAATTGGCCTTTTTTGCCCTGCCTTTCGCGCAAAGAATCCTTTCCCAACTCTTTCCAGGGCCCCCCTGCGCGGCTGCCATTGACGATCGACCACCTTGGTTGGAGCTCCACAATTTCGGGGCCAATGCATGTCTGTCAGTTCAGGCGGGAACCGCAGCTTTTGCATGCTTTTGCTGAGATGTGTGAGATAAGATGGGTCTGAGCCAACCCAGAAAACAACAAACTCAGATTATGCTGAAGACTGTTTGACCAGGAAATGTTCACTTATATCCGTTTTGTGGCATCTCAGTCTTGACCCGCACCCTCTTGCAGGATGAACAGCAGGTTCCTTTGCCAGGCGGCCAAACCAATGTATTTGCTGGACTTGGACGATGAGCCGAGTTGGGCTGATCATCTATGCATATCCATAGAACATTCCTTACAGAATAGCTGCTTAAAATGGATCCTAGGACGCCCCCATTTGTAAGTCAATTCTCAGTCACCATGGTTGCCATGGTTTTGTCGTTTTCTCCGGATTGGGATGCTACGCGGTGCTCACAACGAGCAAAGCGCTCTAGTGCCGCCCTGAGCAGCCCTGGCGTTCTTGCACATGAGCACTGCAAGGTAACGTCCCTGAGGTTCGATCGAGGCATCAGCCTCAGGCCAAAGGAAGATAGATCTGGAGATGACTCAGATGACCACGAAACCCCATCTGAAGATCCCTTCCCTTTCATTTCCTGCAGGTTCTTCTTCGGAGATTGAGAGGGGTAGATATCATCTACAAAGAGAAATGCTTGAGAGCTGCAAGAGGGACAAACAAAATCACAACGCAGTCAAGTGGCATAAGCCTCCAAGAGCACCGGAACAAACCCTGGACGGCTCCTCAGTCAACGCTCCCGCTCTGCTTGGATTTGTTGAACTGGTCTGGTCATGTTGTCTGCAGCTACCTCGCCCTCCTAAGGGGTCTACGAATGGCCCAGTAGAGATTAAGGGTGTCTATGAACCACCCCTTGAAGGCCCTGGTATGTGCAGCTCCTCACATTCACGAATCAAATGTTATTCGATGTTGTTCGAGGTCGAGGCGGCTGCTTTGGAATGTGAGAGCATGCACAGCAAGACCGACAGTTCAGGCAAAACGGAGGTGTCTTCTGGCACCAGCTCTGTAGGTGCTCATGTACAGAATGTTGAACACCTTAAAAATTCCCTATGTTTGCTGAAAAAGAAATCAGCACACCGACTTTCTTCTGTTCACTTAGGAGCTTCCATAAACCGGGTGGAAACATCTTTCCCGTCAGGACATGTCCCGCCTTTGTCGGGACGGTTTGAACTGCAACCTTCTGTCTTCGTAGATCTCACACGTTTTTCAAGTTGAAGGGAGGACCACCAAGAAACAAACACAGGCCGACTGGTGAAGACACCAGTCGCTGTTTTTGCAATTCCACTTCCCTGAGAACTGTCAAGGCTTTCACCTCATGTTTCACCCTCCACAGTTGAAGGGCTTCCCCTTCGGTCCCAAGTAGCTCAAGTTCTTGGAGCCGCTCTTGCGCCGGCACACGCACCTGGCGCGCCAAAGTGCCGGCGCCACGCGCCACGTGCGGCGGGAGAGGGTAGTAGATGGGGAAGGCCCAAAGGTGGGTGGGGTGGCGACCCCAGGGGTTTATTTTTCGGGTGTGTCCCAGTAGAGTTCGGAACAATCAGCAAAAGAGAACAACAACCGATGTGTTGAATTCAAAAGAGAACACCACCGCCAATTTGACTTCATGGATCTTCCCGGAATTGAAGTCAAATGCCTCCGGCACACCACGCCCGAACACGCGCTGGCTGAACGCCCGCCCCGCCACCCTGGCGTCGCCGCTGGCGGCCGCGAGCAGGAGCTGGGCGCACTGCGCTGCTGGAGACGCCTGGGGGCGCGGAGCAACGCGGGATCTGAACCGGAGCGGCTCGAAGAGCGGGAAAATGGTTGGAAAATAGGTTGTAGGATCATTTGGATCTATTGTGGATACTTTGGATGTGGTTCCTCTGTCAGGGATTTCTGTTGAAGTTCGACACTCGCCAAACGCCGGGTGGGCCAATAGCATCATCCTTTCGATCGTTCTGGGAGTTGCACGAACATATCTAAAGCAAAAGCCGCCGGTGGAGTGTCCTGGTTTCATCTGGGTAACGTGATTCTCTATGTTCTCCAAATGCCCCCCGCCCCAATCTCTTTTCTTCTTCGAACCCTGCGAAGAGGTCAGGTCTGGACGGATGCGGAAGTTGGGCAGTCCTGACTGGTCCGGCCAGTCGTCCGGCTTGTGCCAGCCACGGCACGCCGCCTCTTCGGCTCCTTCACCGTCCAAGCTGAGACGACCGACCTGGCCCGACCGACCTCATAGGATTTTGGTCACCAGACCGTTCAATGAGGTCCAGACCTGCTTTCACATGAGTAGTTTGAAGCTTTGGATCGGCAGCGATCCACCTGCAGCCTGCAGGACCCGAAAACAAACAACAAACAACCCGATGAAAATAGTCGACACGTTTCACGCGCACCATCCTGAGGCAGTTTCCAACACAATCCCACACCTGGAACCTCAAGCGATCACCTCTTTTTGATCGGTTTTGAGGCGCCGCACAGTGTTGGTGTTCTGATGGTAGCTGCTCCAGGTGCCAGGTATACCAGAAGTATCTATATACAAACAGATATATACCTAGACCACGGTAATATTAGGCTGTATGTTCTTAATGTTCTTAGCACTTTGATGTTCAGTCTGAGACAGAAACCCCCAAATCGTGATTCCCCAAAAAAAGTAATGACTGGTTGGTAAAATCATGTAAAGTAGCTAAGTAGCTCTACAACCCTTCCGTTCCCTCCTCCTTTGATGGCAGGGCTTTCTATTGAGGAACTTGTTTTCCAAGAGCTTAAGGTAGCTTAAACCCAGGTACCAAACGAAGTGGCTGTTTAGGGAGTGTCTTCAGCAAGCAAATGAAGACCTTTTCCGTTCAAGTCCTGGAGCTTTGTTCGGTTGCAGCACCGACAACGCTTCCCACAAGGACGAACCGCTCCAAAGGTGCAGGAGGAAACAAACAGGAGGCCTTCGCCCAGGCTGGGCTATGCCAAACAGCATCAGACTTGTTGACACATCGAACATGAACTTGACTGATTTTGTCATCCCCGATGACACCGCTTCGGCATCATATTGCGCCTGCTCTGCGTTAATATTGCGCCCGGTTTGCGCTGTGTTTTTAGTTGTTTCTTTTCTTTTTTTGTGTTCTTTTTGGGTTTCTGCCTCGTGTTTTCAAGCGATGCGTTCTGTTCTTGAGCTTTTCCGGTTTCAGACAAGAGAAAACCAACGTAAAGCTAAGCACTTTCAAGCTTGAAAGGCTAGGTTTGGAACAAGTCTATGCAAAGCAGGTGTTCAATGCCCTAGCTCTCAGGTTTGTCCTTTTCTACAGAAAATCTGCAACCTGATTTCGTCTAATTGAACCTGAAGTGGAAGAACATTCTGCCACTGCTCTGGCACCCGCAAAGAGTGGGCACCGCAAAGGTAGCGAACTAGGCACCTTGTATGAGCCTCCTAATCCGAAGAACCATCTCCATCCAAGATTGAGAATGGAATTGTTCTCTAACTGCATGTGTATTGCTTTTCGTTGTGATGGGTCGGGTGTTCGATTTTCTCACAAAGTATCTTTCATCCCAAACTCGATCAAATGCGTCTCACATTCAGCTTGTCGAGGCACATACTTTTGTTCAAGCGAAGCTCAAAAAAACGTACATCCCAGGAAGCTCAAGGTATATTATATATGATATTATATACATGTTGAGAGTCCGGCGGTCAAACCATGCGAAGCAATGAGTAATGTGTTATACAGTACCTGATTATATACCTGCATGATCCTGTATGTATGTGCCTCTACTTGTTATCTTTCCAAGCAATCTTGCGACCTGCGGGTGGATGATGTGAACCCTTGCACCTCCAATCCTTTGAAAAGGGACCCTCAGGCCATACGCCCCCAAGCTCTGCAGTCTGAGCCCCCAGGCCATGTTGATGTGCGCCAGTCAACGCCATACGAACGATCCGTGACGCCGATGGCGGTTCCTTCGGAGTGGCCTTGGATTGTTGTGTCCAGGGCTGGAACAGACCAGATAGCATTGGAAGAATTGCAGCTGCAAATAGCCTTATGTTGAGGAAGTGCCTTCACATGTTACAGTATATCTTTTGAGCTTTTGCTGGGATGTCATGTGAGCTCTGGCTGTGATCTTCGTTGAAGCAGACCTCTTTGAAAGATCTGTTGATCGGTCTCTTCTGGTTCGCCTGCGGTTCGATGAATGCTTGAGACAGTAGAAGCAGAATACCTTATGAATACCCTGAGACAGAGATACTAAAGGGGGTCTTGGTCCGGAGACGGTGGATGAATCAATGAATACCCTGGGAGTCCACTCGACCATTTTCAAAACATGGTCTGACTAGGTGACTATAATATTATATATATATATTGACGACCTTAAGCAACAAGAACCGTTATTCAAAAGCGGTCAGTACAAAACACAATGTTGTTTCTTGTTGAAACTGAAAACCCGATGTTATTGAATATAATGTGTTTCAGGATGTTTCACTGACCCCTTTCTCATCCTGTCTCGCCATTCCGCTCACACCAAGCTACAGAATTCAGGCTACGTGCTACAGAATTTGTCAAGCGTGAACCGGTTGGAAGGCCTCCCAACATATAAGCAACAAACATGATTGTGTCTTCAGGTGTGTATGAACCAACCGACATGCAAAAAGGTTAAGAAAATCTTTGAACACATGTACCATGGGAAGGTTCAACAAAACCCATTAAAGACAGAATTACGGGTTAGTATGGGTAAAACACAGGTTTGGGACGGGTTGCAAAAACATGATGTTTTCCAAATACCCAAGGTATTTGTTGAAAAGTACGGGTTAGTACAGGTATGGCACGGGTTTGGCACGGGATTGAAATCTACCCGTTATTTTTGGATTAGAGTATGTCTGTCTCAGGTGTCAAGATCTTGTGTGATGTTCTTCACCACTGTATAGTCAGAGCAGAAACTTTCTACAAATTATGTAATTGTTGTTTTTGATTCTCCTTATGCAGTATGTGAAGTCGGTGGAGGAATGAAATTGGACCTGGGAACAAACAGAAGCCCGTTCAATGCCCTTATTCATCAACAAAAGCCTCTTAGAATGTCAAATATATTCAAATATAAAAGGTGTTGGAACACCCCATTGCCATGTGTTTTGACAAAACCCGATGTACTTCAGAATGTGTGTGAAAACCCGATGTTTTTGCGTTCACCCCTTTAAAAGAACTGGTTTTGGTGCTGAAGGTATAGATATATATATATATATCTTCAGAGTTCAGCAATGTCCCTTACTTCCGTGGTGCCAATAATAGTCGAACAGGACTTCTAGGGAATCAATACCCACCTACCAGAGTGTGGGTGAGATGGTTTTCAAACAGATCTCCTTCCTTCGTGATGGAGAAAACCCCCGTTCGTGATGATCGTGGACACCATCCACTCGAGGTCGCCCTATGTAGAACAAGAAGACATTGGTCGGTAGTTCAACATAACCTTATTTAAGTCTGTGAACCACATAAACATCCGCAACCAAAATTAACATCCGCTTAAAAGAAAAATCGGGAAAAAACGCCTGTGGCTCATCAATAAGCACCCTTAGCATGTAATAATATAAACGCCCGTGGAATACCACAAAAATATCAGAACACTAGAGAAACATCCGCAAACTCAAATATAAGGCTGTGACACCAAAAGATGTTTTTCACACCGCAGATTAAAAACAAACAAACAAACAAACAAGCACTCTGAGGAAGTTCCAGGTATACGTTTGGACTCACCCCAGATTGCCAGGGTTTGGAACAGGATTTCTGTGGCCTAGTGTGGAAGGCATTCATGTGAGAGTGGCCAAGTCTTAATCCCCACATGATGAGCTTACTTAACGTTTCTTTCGGAGAACCCGTTACTGCCAACTCCGTCCATCTGTTGAACCAACGGTACCGACTGTACTACGTACTACCGATGTTTCATACACTCCCGAAAACTAACATGGACCCGGGTCGAATGGCATCCTGAAAGACTGCTTTCCTTCACAAACCAGTGGTTTTCAGGGTCCATGTTAGTTTTTAGCGGAGTAGATGCCCTCTCAAAGCCCACGAGCAGCTCCCCGTGAGCTGCTCAAACCCTTTCTTTGCCAGAGATCGGTTCCGGCGGTCAAAGAGATGTTCCGTCGCTGATTCTCAGCTGTTTTCGAAGGGTCAGCTAGCTGCTTCAAAAAATACGGACCACATGGCCCGGTTCCATCTTCCATCGACAGTGATGGCACTGCAAACTTGCGCATCTGCCTGTATGTCTTTTCCATGTGAAAAAGTGTTTTGTTAGATTCTCTACGTTCTTGGGTGTCCGTCTCAAAAGGTGTGCAGCTTGAAAACACGTCTGCTGCTGCCCTGTCTTTTTTTGGGTGGAGCCGGAGCATTTGGTCGGGGTTGCCGGGGTGGACTGCTTTGCCCTGAAATCCTTCCAAAGGACAGCTGCATAAAACGATGAGTTCGTAGAACATGAGCTGAATGCAGTCGTTTCCTTGATGGATGGTTCAGAGGGTGGACCCTTCAGTGGTATGTCACGGTATGTCTTGAGTTTGGCTCTGATGTCTTCTGATCCAAGTTTATTCCAGCCCCGGCTCCCCATCCGAAGCATGAGCACTGCCGCTCTTGAACTTGGGAGCACTCGGCAAACAGCCCCACCATTGGGGAAATCGATGCGCTACGATCCATGGGCCTCAGGGTAATCTCACAAGTTCGGAAGTTGTTCCTTGTTACTAGTAGCTTCTTGTTTCTAGTTACCTAAGTTACTAGTAGTAATGGCCTCCAACCTACTAGCGATGGCCTCCACCTAGTAGTTTCTTGTTGCTGTTCAGCCAAAAAATCCCAAGTCCGGACTTGGACCTTCGCAAGTCCGCCTTCATCAGACTCGTATCTTTCTCCGCGGTGGCTTGCACTGCAGTCGGACTACGATGAGATACCTTTTCAGGCGAGCCTTCCCCGACGAACCAGGCGCTGTCTGAATCTGATTGATTCTGGCAGTCTTTTGACGACATGCCTTAAGGCAAAAACAGAAGCATGTAGAAGCATGTTCTATCTATACATTATAATATATTTATCACTTTATCATAATTTATTTAAGATTGAAGAGACAATGTATGCGCTTATATGCACACTTGCACCCCATATTGGCCGTTCATATTGGGGGAAACCCTAGCGGACAACACACGGACAGAACCTGCAATTTCTACATGGAATGTGGCCTTGCCCTAACCCCTAAACTAATGAATGAATTCGTGGGGATGAATCAAAACCTTGAGCCCCAACACCATGTAGCTTGACCTCCCAGGCAGTCCAGGCCGCTCAGTTGGGATGGTCAACTAAGGTATCTGGAGTTGACCCCTAGCCATATGGCTGTGCATCAAAAATCAGGGGGCTTGTCCACGGAACATGAACAGATTCCTTCCATGCTTTGGGATGTCAACCTTCCGCGGTGTCATGGGGGAGCCATGCCCTAACCCACCAAGACCACATCCCCACCAGCAGAGACTCTGAAGGACATGGAAGTACTCAGAGACTCCCGAGGTCCTTTGCTTTTCGGATCTTAAACCTTTGGGTTTTTCGTACATCCAAAAGGATCCCAAAAGAACTGTTTGGGTCTGCTTCGCCATGCTTCGCCTTGGCGGACATACCAGTCGCCCAACGAAGGAAGATGTGATGTCCGTCGGCCGAGGAAATCCCACTCTGGATGTTGGGCTGCGGATTGGGAGACACCCATGACCCCATCCTCAATCGACCAAATGGACTAACACCCTGGGGTTCTCCCTAAGGAACAGTGCACGGTCCCCACATAAGGCAACAAAGGAAACCAACGACCTGTTGAAAGGATCTGCCGTGTTGTCCAATTCCTTGTACTTGTTCCCCGCAAGAAATCACAGTCGGCAAAGGTTTCTCTGTTCTCAAAACCACACGTTCATCCGGCGTCCATCGCTTGTATGAAGAGAACAGGAAAGGCTCGCCCACGACTCCAGCGTAGCGCACGAGAACAGCAGTTCTCTCCTGTCGCAGCAGGACCGAAATTAAAGTTTCCTGCAACTGTTTAGTTTGGAGCTGAGCCTCAATCTGTTATCTTTGGGAGTGTAGAAAAGTCGACAGGAGGTATTGATCACCCTGGAGTACCTGGAGCTTTTTTAGAGCGGTTAATGGGAGACCCATCAACAGTGCAGGGTTTTCCTTAAAAAACAAGTTCAAAGTCCAATGGCTCCTATTTACACCACACACTTCAACCTTCTTGAACAAGGCTCCCCCCAGCAGATGGGACAGGAAGAGACATTTATGGCATATTCTACTTGTCATCTGCTTGTTGGTGTTAGATTCTCCTTCATGTCCTGAAGGGTTGGTAACATGAACAACTTCTATATATGGCCCGAAAGCCGGCCAGGGGCTCACACCTGAGGAAGGGAAGGGCGAAGGAAGAAAAGGGAAGAAGGGAATGGGGAGAATCAAGGAAATCGTAGGGCAGGGCAGTTGTGACTGCAGTGTTGGCGGTGGTAGTAGCGGGTGGGTGGTGGTTGTTATTGGTGTTGTGGCTGTGGCTGTGGCTGTCTGTGGCTGTGGCTGTTGGTGTTGCTGTTGTTGCTGTTGTTGTTGTTGTTGTTGATGTTGATGTTGATGTTGATGTTGATGTTGATGTTGATGCTGCTGTCGTTTTTGGTGTGGTTCTTGTAAATATGGCATGGAAGAGGGGTTGGCATGTGGACTACGCTGGTGGCGAATCTTGTACGTGAGCGTTGCTGCTGCTGCTGCTGTTGTTGCTGCTGTTGTTGGTTGTTCGTTGTTGCTTGCTTGGCTGGCTGGTTGGTTGGTTGGTTGGTTGGTTGGCCACCTATATGTTGGACTGGTTGTTGTTCCAGAAAAAAAGTGAAATGAAAAGCAACATAAACGGAACGCAAATAATGCATGGCA